AATCCCGCCCGGCTCCACCGTGACGCGATGAAAACGCCGTGCGAGGGCGCAGCCCGCCGCGGGCTCCTGGCCGGTAGAGAATGACGTCTCCGCCGGTGCAGCCGCACACAGGCTACTTCGGACCAGAGCTGGTGCTACTCGTGGGCCTCCTACTCGTCCTGGCGGGCAACGTCGCCGTGCGCGCCACGCGTGCCCGTGTTCAGCCAAGCGCCGGCGCCGTGGCGGACGACGCCTCTGCATCAACCTCGCAGCCGCCGCACTGGCCGTCGTTGCCCTTGCAGTGGCCGCGCTGGCTGTCATCGAGGAGGATGCCGCGCTGGCCAATCGCGCCCGAGCGACGCCACTTCCCCTTCAAGGACGAAATTGCCGACGACGACCCAGTCGCCTCCTCCGACCAGAGCCTGCAGGCTAGCATCAGGCAGAGCCCTCGCCGGCTCTCCTTTGGCGAGCCCTCGCGCGATTCGGCGCCGCAGCTCACCTACGAGGAGATAGCCAAGTGGATGCTCGCCGTGGACTCGGCCAGAGAGATTGCGCCCTCGCGGGAGGCGGCGACGCCTCGCTGCTGCGCTCCTCTCCCGGCGTCGAGTGCTTCAGACGTGGTGCAGCGGATCCTGCGAGAGGCGACGCCTCGCTGCTGCCCTCCACAGACGGCGTCGAATGCTTCGGACGTGGTGCAGCGGATCCTGCGAGAGCGTGTAGAGGCGGCGGCTGTGGAAACGGTGGGGGTGGCGGAGGAGGAGGAGGAGGTGGCGGAGGAGGCGGCTTGGCCGGAAGACGCGCGACACAGGGAGCAGGAGGTTTCCGACGAGGGCGAGGAGAGGGAGGCGCTGGCGGCGGCGGCGGAGAGGGAGGCGGCGCGGCGAGAGCTGGAGGAGGCGCGGCAGGTGAGCGAGTGGGCGCGAATCCCGCGCTTCGGCGCGGGCTTGGAGCAGTGGGGGAGGGGCGAGGCGGCGGCGGCGGCGGAGCGGGCGGCGGCGCGCGAGGAGGCGCTGCAGGCGGAGCTGAATCCCGCCGCGAAGCGAGCGGCCACCGGGGCGCGCGAGGCGCAGGTGGAGACGGCGATGGTGGCGGCGCTTGCAACGGCCGAGAAGGAGGCGGAGGCGCGATCTGCCCTCGACGAGTCTAGCGCCTCGGCGCAGGACGCGGCGCGCGAGCGCTCCTTGCAAGGGGCGCTCGACCGGGGTGTCGCACAGGGGAAGCAGGCGCGGGAGGAGGAGGCCGGGGCGGCGGCGGGGCGCAGCAAAGGTGCAGAGGCGGCGGGAGCTCGCATCGCGGCGCTCACTGCGGAGGCCAACGCCGCAAGGGCGGCGGCGATGCAGGCCAAGAAGGCTCTGGTCGCCGTTCGCGACGTTGTGGCGTATGAGCAAGCGGGCGCCCAGGCGGCAAGGAGCGAGGCAGCCGCCGCCGCCGCCGCGCTGCAGGCTGAGCGCGCCGCGGCGGAGGAGGCCCGTGCGGCGGCGGCGGCGGCGGCGGCGGCGCTAGAGCGCGCCCAAGCCGCAGCAAGCGCGAGCGAGGAGAGGGCGAGGGCTGCAGAGGCGGAGGTCGCCGCCGGGAGGAGGGAGAGTGGGTCTCACGAGTCGAGAGGGGCCGCCCCGCTCCTCGCAGCCGCAACAAACGTCGCCCCAGCCCTCGTGACGGATCCCGAGCCGCCGCATGTCGCGCCGCTGCTGCGGCATCTCAGTTTCGACCCTGAGGCCGAGGCGACGGGCGATTTCCTCGACAAGCAGCACGCCGCTCTCGGCCTCAGCAGTAGTAGTCGCTTACAGCAGCACGCGGCCGCCCTCGGCCTCACGCGAACCGGCTCGGCCGCCGCCGGCTCGGCCGTTGCTTCGGCGGCGGCCTCCCCTCACTCCTCGGCCGCCTCGCCGGATCGCTCCTCCGCGGGGGAGGAGAGGTGGGCGGAGGAGAGGGAGGAGGAGGAGGAGGACGCGAGCTGCTCCGAGGTTGGCGAGGCGGCCAAGGACCCGGAGCTGAGGGAGACCGAGGAGGCGGCGGCAGTCGCGGCCGCCCTGGCCGCCTCCAACCCCTCCCTGAGGCTCGAGGCTGAGGCGGCAGCAAAGAAGCGGGCGGCGAAGCTCGCCGCCCCCTCGGGCGCGCGGTGCGAGGCTGCGCCGCCCTCAGCGCCGGCGGCGGCGCAAAAGGACTCGAGCGCGCTCGCGGTCCTCGAGGTTGGCGTCGGGGGAGGCAAGTCGGCGCGGCTGCCGGTCCACGCCGGGGACAACCCGGCGGCCATCGCGGCCAAGTTTGCGAGCGAGCACGGGCTGCCGGCCGCGTACCAGCAGAAGCTGGTTGCGACGATCGAGCAGCAGTTGGCGAGGGTGGCGGCGGAGGCGGCGGGGGCGGCGGAGGAGGCGGAGGAGGCAAAAGCGGCGAGGGTGGCGGCGGAGGAGGCGGAGGCGGCGGAGGAGGCAGAGGAGGCAAAAGCGGCGAGGGTGGCGGCGGAGGAGGCGGAGGCGGCGGAGGAGGCGGAGGAGGCAAAAGCGGCGAGGGCGGCGGCGGAGGAGGCGGAGGAGGCGGAGGAGGCAAAAGCGGCGAGGGTGGCGGCGGAGGAGGCGGCGGAGGCGGCGGAGGCGGCGGAGGAGGCAAAAGCGGCGAGGGTGGCGGCGGAGGAGGCAAAAGCGGCGAGGGTGGCGGCGGAGGAGGCGGAGGCGGCGGAGGAGGCGGAGGAGGCAAAAGCGGCGAGGGCGGCGGCGGAGGAGGCGGAGGAGGCGGAGGAGGCAAAAGCGGCGAGGGTGGCGGCGGAGGAGGCGGCGGAGGCGGCGGAGGCGGCGGAGGAGGCAAAAGCGGCGAGGGCGGCGGAGGCGGCGGAGGAGGCGGAGGAGGCAAAAGCGGCGATGGTGGCGGCGGAGGAGGCGGCGGAGGAGGCGGAGGAGGCGGAGGAGGCAAAAGCGGCGAGGGTGGCGGCGGAGGAGGCGGAGGCGGCGGAGGAGGCGGAGGAGGCAAAAGCGGCGAGGGTGGCGGCGGAGGAGGCGGCGGAGGCGGCGGAGGAGGCAAAAGCGGCGACGGTGGCGGCGGAGGAGGCGGAGGCGGCGGAGGAGGCGGAGGAGGCAGAAGCGGCGAGGGTGGCGGCGGAGGAGGAGGCGGAGGAGGCGGAGGAGGCGGAGGAGGCAAAAGCGGCGAGGGTGGCGGCGGAGGAGGCGGAGGCGGCGGAGGAGGCAGAGGAGGCAAAAGCGGCGAGGGTGGCGGCGGAGGAGGCGGAGGCGGCGGAGGAGGCGGAGGAGGCAAAAGCGGCGAGGGTGGCGGCGGAGGCGGCGGAGGCGGCGGAGGAGGCGGAGGAGGCAAAAGCGGCGAGGGTGGCGGCGGAGGAGGCGGCGGAGGAGGCGGAGGAGGCGGAGGAGGCAAAAGCGGCGAGGGTGGCGGCGGAGGAGGCTGAAGAGGAGGCGGCGGAGGCGGCGGAGGAGGCGGAGGAGGCAAAAGCGGCGAGGGTGGCGGCGGAGGAGGCGGCGGAGGAGGCGGAGGAGGCGGAGGAGGCAAAAGCGGCGAGGGTGGCGGCGGAGGAGGCTGAAGAGGAGGCGGCGGAGGAGGCAAAAGCGGCGAGGGTGGCGGCGGAGGAGGCTGAAGAGGAGGCGGCGGAGGAGGCGGAGGCAGAAGCGGCGAGGGTGGCGGCGGAGGAGGCGGCGGAAGAGGAGGCGGATGAGGCGGCGGAGGCAGAAAAGGAGGCGACGGAGGAGGAGGGAAGGTGGGAAGCTGCGGAGGAGGAGGAGGTGGAGGCGGCGGAGGAGGCGGCACGGGCAGAAGCGGCGAGGGTGGCTGCAGAAGCGGCGAGGGTGGAGGCCGCCGCCACCCAGGCCGCCGCCGCCGCTATCGCCGCCGCCGCCGCCGCGATGCGATCTAGGGAGGCGCCCACGGGCGCCGACCGGCAGCTAGCCGCCAAGGACCCGGAGCTGAGGGAGGCCGAGGAGGCGGCGGCAGTCGCGGCCGCCCTGGCCGCCTCCAACCCCTCCCTGAGGCTCGAGGCTGAGGCGGCAGCAAAGAAGCGGGCGGCGAAGCTCGCCGCCCCCTCGGGCGCGCGGTGCGAGGCTGCGCCGCCCTCAGCGCCGGCGGCGGCGCAAAAGGACTCGAGCGCGCTCGCGGTCCTCGAGGTTGGCGTCGGGGGAGGCAAGTCGGTGCGGCTGCCGGTCCACGCCGGGGACAACCCGGCGGCCATCGCGGCCAAGTTTGCGAGCGAGCACGGGCTGCCGGCCGCGTACCAGCAGAAGCTGGTTGCGACGATCGAGCAGCAGTTGGCGAGGGTGGCGGCGGAGGCGGCGGGGGCGGCGGAGGAGGCGGAGGAGGCAAAGGCGGCGAGGGTGGCGGCGGAGGAGGCGGCGGAGGAGGCTGAAGAGGAGGAGGCGGAGGAGGCGGAGGCAGAAGCGGCGAGGGTGGCGGCGGAGGAGGCGGCGGAAGAGGAGGCGGATGAGGCGGCGGAGGCAGAAAAGGAGGCGACGGAGGAGGCGGGAAGGTGGGAAGCTGCGGAGGAGGAGGTGGAGGAGGAGGTGGAGGCGGCGGAGGAGGCGGCACGGGCAGAAGCGGCGAGGGTGGCTGCAGAAGCGGCGAGGGTGGAGGCCGCCGCCACCCAGGCCGCCGCCGCCGCTATCGCCGCCGCCGCCGCCGCGATGCGATCTAGGGAGGCGCCCACGGGCGCCGACCGGCAGCTAGCCGCCAAGGACCCGGAGCTGAGGGAGGCCGAGGAGGCGGCGGCAGTCGCGGCCGCCCTGGCCGCCTCCAACCCCTCCCTGAGGCTCGAGGCTGAGGCGGCAGCAAAGAAGCGGGCGGCGAAGCTCGCCGCCCCCTCGGGCGCGCGGTGCGAGGCTGCGCCGCCCTCAGCGCCGGCGGCGGCGCAAAAGGACTCGAGCGCGCTCGCGGTCCTCGAGGTTGGCGTCGGGGGAGGCAAGTCGGCGCGGCTGCCGGTCCACGCCGGGGACAACCCGGCGGCCATCGCGGCCAAGTTTGCGAGCGAGCACGGGCTGCCGGCCGCGTACCAGCAGAAGCTGGTTGCGACGATCGAGCAGCAGTTGGCGAGGGTGCGGCGGAGGGCAGGCGGCTGAGCCTGAGCGGGCGAAGCTCGACAGGCTCTCTGAGCGGGCGAAGCGAGGATGGATTGAGCGACTGACCGCTCACTCAACGGCACGCCAAGCCGACGGCGCACAACCTCCCTCCCTCTCTTGCACATGCATGTGGCATAATCCCGGACCGGCTCTTTGGGTTCTTTTTACTCTAGCCTCCTTCTCAGTCATGTGAAGCGCCGGTCGAGCGACCCGACGTGGACGCCACCGCCTTGCCCTTGGCCTCTGCGAGACCTCTGCTGCGCGTATGCGCGTAAGAGACGGACGGGCCCTTGGCGGGGGTCTCGATGCCCGTCGGGAGCGGCATGAGCGGCGGCGGCGGCCCGAGTGAGTGTGTCGCGAGCGCCGGCGCTGCTCCAGAGAGGCTGGAAAAGAAATCCCGCCCGGCTCCACCGTGACGCGATGAAAACGCCGTGCGAGGGCGCAGCCCGCCGCGGGCTCCTGGCCGGTAGAGAATGACGTCTCCGCCGGTGCAGCCGCACACAGGCTACTTCGGACCAGAGCTGGTGCTACTCGTGGGCCTCCTACTCGTCCTGGCGGGCAACGTCGCCGTGCGCGCCACGCGTGCCCGTGTTCAGCCAAGCGCCGGCGCCGTGGCGGACGACGCCTCTGCATCAACCTCGCAGCCGCCGCACTGGCCGTCGTTGCCCTTGCAGTGGCCGCGCTGGCTGTCATCGAGGAGGATGCCTCGCTGGCCAATCGCGCCCGAGCGACGCCACTTCCCCTTCAAGGACGAGAGGGTCGACGACGACCCAGTCGCCTCCTCCGACCAGAGCCTGCGGGCTAGCATCAGGCAGACGGCGACGAGGTCCTGGGTGAGTTTGAGGGCGGAGCAGGTGACGGCAAGGGCGAAAGAGACGGCGGTGAGGACGGTGGCGGCGGCAGCGGCGGAGGGGCGGGCTCTGGCGGTTTCGGCTTCGGCGGTGGCGGTGGCGGTGGCAAAGGGTCCGGCAACGAGGGCCTGGGTTATGCTCGCCGTCGACTCGGCCAGGGAGATTGCGCCGTCACGGGAGGCCTCCAGGCCTGACGACCGCGGCTGCGCGGCAAGCCCCTCTCTCTCGGGGCAGCAGGAGAGTTCCGCGGTGTCCACGCCGGCGGCGACGCCTCGCTGCTGCCCTCCACCGCCGGCGTCGAGTGCTTCAGATGTGGTGCAGCGGATCCTGCGAGAGCGGACGGCTTCGGGAGACACGCGGAGCGCGTCTGCGCTCCGTCGCGCGAGGGAGGTCCCAGCCCGGAGCCGCAGCGGCCCTTCCTCCGCCTCTGATGGGCGCAGCCAGCCGCAGGCGCAGGGGGCGGGAGGAGCGGGATGCGTGGACGGCGACTTGGACGAGGACGAGGCGGTCGTCCCTGGCCGCGGCCACACGCTCCGCCGCCAGGCAAAGACGGATGAAGAGGACCTCGCCTCCCTCGCCTCCGCGTCGTCGTCCTCCTTCACCGCCGCCACCCTCGCCACCGCCGCGTCTGCAGAGGCCGCTGCGGAGGCGGCGCGGGCGGAAGCGGCGAGGGTGGCTGCGGAAGCGGCGAGGGTGGAGGCCGCCGCCGCCACCCAGGCCGCCGCCGCCGCTATCGCCGCCGCCGCCGCCGCGATGCGAGATGCGAGAGCGGAGGCTGAGGGCGTTACTGTCTCCGTCCGCCGAGGCGCGGGCGGGCTCGGCCTCGTCGTCTCGCCGCAGAACGTCGTGCTCGAGCTCACCGCCGGCGGAGCCGCGGCCGAGGACGGCTTACTCCGCATCGGCGACACCGTGCTCACGGTGGACGGCGTGCCGCTGGCGGGTCGCCGGCTGAGGGAGGCCCTCCGCCAGAGGCCCTCCGCGACGAGCTTCTCCCTCGCCGTGCGACGCTCCGCCCCAGCGGCTCCACTTGCGGCGTGGGGTGGCGACGACGGCCCGGCGCTTGCGGCTGCGCTCCCTCCCTCCTCCTCGGCTTCGAGGCGAGAGAAGGCGAGGCGCGTCTCGTACGGCGAGTCCGCCACGGGCGTGCCGACTGTCCTGCTCACGCCCACCGGCACGCGCTTCAAGACCCTCCTCGACGTGTCGCGCCTCGAGTCCGCCGCTGAGCTGTGCGACCTCGCCGCAGCAACGTGGCACGAGTGCACAGGTGTCGGCCTCGTGCCGCACCAGCTGCGAGTCTCGCCACGCGTCGAGTGAGCTCGCCGCGAGCGGATGCCCCACACGCTCACCCTCACCCTCACACCATTTTTCGCTTGCCCCCCCCCCCTCCCCTCCCTTATACCACACCACGCACCCATCAGCCCACCCACACGCTCCCGCCAGGTGCCTTCTGCACGGCGACGAGCGACTCCTCCTCACGCCCGACACGACTCCCGCTGTCCTCCGCCTCGTTCAGCAGATCCGCGTCTCGGCACCCGCCCAAACCGCGAGCGCGACCTCCGCGAACGGGAATTCTCGGGAAGGTTCCGAGCCGGTCGATGTGGACTGCACTTCGGCCTCGTCTCGGGAGGCGCCCACGGGCGCCGACCGGCAGCTAGCCCTCGTGATGGAGCGGCGACAGGCGCGCAAGATGCAGGAGAAGCGAGAGCAGGGCAGGCGGCTGAGCCTGAGCGGGCGAAGCTCGACAGGCTCTCTGAGCGGGCGAAGCGAGGATTGAAGCACATGTACATGTACATGTTGTTGTTGTTGTAGTCAGAGATATCTCCACGCGATCTCCGCGATCTCTCTCTCTTCTGAAACTTTTCTCACAACACATCTCACTTCTCTCTCTTGAAACCGTTTTCTCTCTCTTTTGTCGACATGTTTTGATGAGGTTTCTTTGCATTGTGGCTCTCTATACGCGCGCGCGCTTCAACGCCTCTGGGGGGGCCGAGGTCGCGGCAGAAGGACCCTCCTGCGGCCGCCCTCTGCGGCGCCTCCGGCTCCGCTGCCTGTTGCCGCCGCGAGCTCGGCGCTCGCAGTCTCCGCCAGTTGCTGCGCCTGCCGCTCGCGATCCAGGGCGTCCCTAAGTTCGCCCTTGAGCTCCGCTCGCAAGGCATCGGCAGCGCCCTGGGCCGCAAGCCCGGCCTGCTTCTCCCGCGCGAGAGCATCTCGCAACTCGCGGCACTCGCGGTGCAGGATTTCGTTCTTTGCCTGCAGCTCGGCATTCTCTTGCCGAAGCAGCGCGCCTGCCGCTGCACATCGCTTTGTGAGCGCGTCCATCTCCACCTTTGCGGCCTGTGCCGCCTTTTCGCGGGCCAGCGTGGCCGCAGCCTCTGCCCCAAAGGAGGGCAGCGGGTCGTTAAAGGAGGACTTGTTGAAGATAGAGTCGAAGATGGCATCTGGCGACATGAAGCGACTGGGCACCGGCGGCATCGGAGGTATGGGTGGCTGAGCCTGATGCTCGCGGGCACGATTCGGGCCGCCTCGGCCACCGCCTCGGCCACCACCGCCCGGGCCGCCTCGGCCACCGCCTCGGCCATCATCTCGGCCATTGCCTCCACCGGCGTCTTCCCCTGTAGCTTGCGACTGGCCTCGGTCGTACGCATTGCGCTGCTCCTTGTCGGAGAGCATGGCGTACGCCGCGGCAACCTCCTAGTGATTGCGGGTCAACGATAATCGGTGCAGGACTGAGGCGACGGCCGAATGGGTGGATGGTTCCTTGAATTTGCGTTCAAACTCAGCCCGCTCCGCATCGCTCGCATTTGGGTGCTTGTCCGGATGCAGGGTGGATGCGAGCTTCCGCCAGGCGCCCCGCACCTCTTCGTTGCTGGCGCTGCGTGAGACGCCCAGAACCGCATGGGGGTCAAGCCGCTTGGAGCCGCGTCGCATACTTGAATTTGACCAACCCACAGGCACCAGCACCAGGGATACTAGAAGAGCGTCGGTGGTACCCGTAGATCGGGTCGCCCCGCAGCGCCCCCCGAGGCTTCTCGGCGAGAGGTGGACTGGCCACGGACGTCGTCGGCGCGCGTTTTTTAACTTATACGAGTTACGAGCTCTCACGCCGCTCGTAGGCAGGGCCCTGAGGGGGCCTAGAGAACACAACCCCCGCTCCCTCTTCTCCCAGTACTTTATAAAGTTGCCTCTTCTCCCAGTACTTTATAAAGTACTGGGAGAAGAGGCAAGAAAGAGGGAGAGGGGGTTGTGTTCTTAAAGTACTGGGAGAAGAGGGAGAGGGGGTTGTGATCTTAAAGTACTGGGAGAAGAGGGAGAGGGGGTTGTGTTCTCTCCAAGTAAGCTAAAAGTACGTCCCTTTTCTCCCACCCAGTAAAGTAGATGCGAAGCTCCCTTCCGACCGAGCTCTCACGCCGCGCGTAGGGCCCTTAGGGGCCGAGAGAACACCCCCCTCTCTCCCTTTTCTCCCAGTAAGCTAAAAGTACGTACCCCGTATTTACCCTATTCTGACTCGCAAAAGAAATCTGACTGGGCAGCCGAATCTGTAACAAGCTCTCGCCCTCCCTCACTGGTGTGTTCATTGGGGGGGGTCATAACAAACACGGTACAGGATCGAGGTGCACGCTGCAGAAGCAGTGTCGTCCCCCCTCTCCATCATCCCACATCGAGACGTCGGCGGCGGTGTCGGTGTGACCGATCGAGCTACAAGAGGAGCTTGTTCAGCAGGATCAGGGGTGGGCCGAGCAGTTCTCACTTCCTCAATGGGTGAGCTTCAGACTTCATGGCCGGCGCCACCACGCGTCCTCCCCCTCACCCCTCGGCTCGTGTGGATTCGAACCACGGCCGGGATGGAAGCTTCCTGCTTCCATCTCTGTTTAACTTTCGATTTCCTCCTGTGCAACAGGGAGGGCTCGGACGGAGCGCGGGACGGGAGAGGGGGCAGGGGATGGGAGCGTGGGAGGAGGGGGGGGGGGGGGGGGGGGCTCCCCCCTGCAAAATCTGAATAATTCCAATTTCCCCCTGGGCAAAAACGAAAAGGGCTCTCACGGCCCCTGGGGGGAAAAGGCAGGCCGGAAATTGCCCCCCGAAAAGAAGGGGGGGGGGGGGGGCTCCCCTTTTTCCAAAAAG